GGCCAGGCCGTGGGCGAGGCTGTAGCCCGGTGGCGCCGACGTGTACCGCGATAGCCGCTGGGCGTATGCGAGCAGCGTGTCGTACCGCAGCGGATCTGCAGTCGTTGGCGATTGCGGATGGCGGCGACGGCGGCGACGGCGGCGGCAGCAGCAGCAGCAGCAGCAGCAGCAGCAGCAGCAGCAGCAGCAGCAGCAGCAGCAGCAGCAGGATCGTGGTGCAAAGAGAGTCAGATCGAGGACGTTGCGCAACGCGCGCGGACGTGTCGGCCGTTGCAGCTGGCGAAACCGCATCGTCGCCGCCGCCTAGTACAGACTTACGCTTCTCTGCCCTGTCGATGGCCTGGACCTCGTCCCTGGCCAGCCTTACGATATCGTCGAGCTCCTGCCCCATGCTGTCGAGCGCGAGGATGGCTCTTCGCGTGCTGCGGTCGCGCTGCTTGGCCTTGCGCTTGAGCGTGTCGATCCTCTTTTGATTGATGGCGTGGCGCCGGGCGAGCTTGAGCCGCTGGGCGAGGAGCGCATCGACGTCTTGCAGGGCGTCGAGGATCTGCGCCGTGGATGAGGGTGCCCATCGCCGTCCGGCGTGGTCGTCGGTCACGGCGGGCAGCGGCTTGCCCGGCTGCTCGATCGAGGCAAAGAGCGATTTGGAGAGCGAGGCATAGGCGTCCAGCGTCGATAGCAGCAGTGCGCTGGTGGACGCGTGTGGTTGGTCGTCCGGCGCCATCGTGGCGGTTGTGGCAGGAAGAACGCGGGTCGCGGATCGAGGGTGTCGAAGGATGGCGGAGGGACAAGGAGGTGACGAGGAGGGAGGGCAAGGAAGGAAGGAAGGAGGCAGCGGCGGCTGAGCAGGTGACGGTGGGTGGGTGGGTGGTCCCTGCACGCCGCGCCGCCCTTTTTTCTTCCTCGCCCGCCTCGCCTCGACTGGCCGAGCTGGCTGGCCTCTCAACCGCCACCACCACCACCACCACCACCACCACCACCACCGCCAACCTCGCCGCCCGCCATGTCGTCCCTCCGCGGCGCGTCTCTCTACTCTGGCATCTTTGGCGACGAAGAGGGCGAGGCGGCCAAGGACAATGACGCCGCCGCCGCAACAACAACCACGACGGCCGACTCTTCGACCCCCGCTGCCGACGCAGCCTCGACCAAGTCGGAGCAAAACAAATCTACAGGTACACCATCATACTGCTGTGGATGAGCTGTCCGCTGCTGCTCGACTTCGTCCTCGCTCACAGAGTAGGGGGCAGCAGAACAGGACCACCAAGCAACACGCCGCACACGGCGCATCGAGCCCTTCCAAAGGCCTTGCTCACACTCCGATCCCATCCTCTTTTCCTTGTGCCTTTCCCCAACCTGGCCGGAACCGCAACCCGTAACCTTCCTTGCCACTGCACCGCCATGGTCCGGCTGCTGCTGCACAGGCTCAGCGCCAGCCTGGTCCGCCGCGCTGAGGTTCGCCCCCCGCAAGAGCGCAGCAGCCAGCAACAAGGCCAAGCCCAGGCCCAGCGCCGCCCTCCTCGCCTCGTTTGCTCCGCCGCTTCCAGCCGATGCGCCCGGCACAGGCAGTACGGGCGGAGTCTCGCAGGTCGGTGCGGCCAAGGCACCCGCCGCCTCGTCTGCTGCTGGCAGCCACCCTTCGCCCTCAAGCCAGCCTCCCGCCGCCATGGCCGCTGCCTCGCATGCTGCGACAGGCGAGGCATCTGCACCGCGCCCATCTCACGAGATTGGCCTTAGGGCCAACCCGAGCATCGCATCGATCCAGACGACCGCTATCCGGCTGCCCGGTGCCGCCTCCGAAGCGGCGGCTGCACTGCCTGCCGCGACGCCGGTCCACGCCCCTCCGCCCACGACCTTGCCGCCCGAAGTGCTGGAACGGGACCGCCAGCTTGCCAGAGCCGCAGCAGAAGCGCGGGGAGACAGGCCGGTCCAACGACGAGGCGGACCCAGCGCAGACGCAGACGACGACCGATGGGATGAAGAGGGCGGATGGGAGGGCGAGGACGACGAAGACGTCAACGGCTTCCTCGCCTCGTCTGCAGGCAAGAAGGCCAGCAAGAAGAAGGTGAGCAGTCACGGCTGAGGCGCCCGATGTGCAGCGTTCTGCCCCTGTGCTGACGATGAGATGCCCGCGCTGGGACCTCGACCGCAAACAGAAGAACAAGCGGAAGCGCGGCGTCAGCCCACCGACCGGCCCCAACATGGACCACGACTACGACCCACGCGTGCCCAACGACTACATCGCCTATCGCGAGCTCGTTGCGAAACGGCGGCAGGCCGAGCTGACGGCGATCAGGGAAGAGCAGCGGCGGCACCGAGACGACAAGTGCGACGATGGCCAGTCCGCGGGCCGGCGATCTGGGTTCGGATCGAGAGCGAGGGACGAATGGTCCGACGAAGAGGGTCCGTGGGGCCAGGACGACGACGATGATGCCAAGGCAGAGGAGCGACGGAGGAAGCTGAGCCGCTTCGCACCGCCCCCTTCATACGGGCAAAGAGCCGAGAGCAGCTCGCAGCCACCGTCATACTCAGCGCACACGGAACGACCGCTGGCTGAGGGAGGGGCACCTGCAGCAAGACCACCACCGCCTCCACCGCCAGCCGCACCGACGACCTCATTTGCATCCTCCGGCGCGCCCCGGCCTCGACCG